AGACATAAATTCATCCATCTATGAGCAGCTGATATTTGACAAAGGCCCAAAGTTCGTTAATTGGGGAAAAGACAGTCTCTTTAACAAATTGTGCTGGCATAACTGGATATCCATCTGTAAAAAACTGAAACAAGACCCAGACCTCACACTATGTGCAAAAACTAACTCAAAATGGATGAAAGACTTAAATTTAAAATCAAAAAGAATGAAGATCATGGAAGAAACTTCTGTTTGTTAAAGCCATCCACTTGTGGTATTTCTATTATAGCAGCACTAGATAACTAAGACATAGGGGTCCTGACTTTCTTTATCAACTCTTTGATTCTCTAGGTCTGTACTGTCCTATATGGTAGCCCCTACTCACATGTGTCTATTTAAATTCAAATTAATTAAAATTAGACAAAATTAAAAAATTCCGTTCCTCAGTCTCCTTAGTCATATTTTAGGTGCTCAATAGCCACAGAGGGCTGGTAGCCTCCATACTAGACAACATGGACATAGAACACTTCCATTATTGCAGAAAGTACTATTGCTCTAGATCAATGGTTCTTAGCTTTGTAGGTTATAACCCTTTTAATAATCTAATGATCCAAAAAAAAAAAAACCAAACCCACTGCCATCGAGTTGGTTCCGACTCTTAGCAACACTATAGGACAGAATAGAACTGCCTCATAGGGTTTCCAAGGAGTGCCTGGTGGATGTGAACTGTGGACCTTTTGGTTAGCAGCCGACCTCTTAACCACTATGCCACCAGAGTTTCCAATCTAATGATAGCATTGAATATTTCCTCCAGAGAAATGCTCACAAAACTACAGATGCAAACTTTTGCAAAAGGCTTTAGGGGGTGCCTTGGGCTCCCCTAACTGATCATAAGACCGTTTTTGGACACAAACTGAATAGAAACCCTAAAAGCTATGTGAAGAAGGGGGAGGGGGCTGCAAGCCCACTAGTGGAATGTGGTGGATAACGTGAGGGCAGTAACCCCGCTGATAATATTCCCTAGTGGTCAGCCTCCTGCTGGATGCCTGGTATTGTGGAAAGAACGATGGAGTGGTTATCAGGGAATTTGTGTTCTCTTCCTTATTCTACAACCAGCTCCCAATGCATCCTTGGATATTCCATTTGGATATGACTTAGATATACCTATAATCCTTAATTACCAAAACATGAATTGAGAAGATAGGACAGTGTGCCCCTAGCATTGTCTGGTTTTAACTCTGGGTAGGAATCTCAAGCCACAGTGGGTGGAATGGGGTGGGGAGGCATAAAGTTCTAGTAGCACCTGAAGCCTTCTAGCTTCACGAGAAGGAATAAGAATCAAGATAAGCACAAAGTTGATTCCAGTGAGGTGGAGGTTAGACATACTCCACTCTCCAACCTTTTTACCAATTCTGACAACAGCTGCTCCCCCAATAGCACTCTCTACTTCTCTGCTGGGTTCAGTAACTCATTGCAACATCTCACAGAACTCACAAACTATACTTACAGTTAAGTGGTTTATTAGGGAAATAACAGGGCACAACTCCAAATCAGGATCAACAGGCTACAACTCGGGATCAGGATCAGGAAGCATATAGGCAAAGCACATCCTTCCCTTCTTCAGTACAGGAAAGTTTTCTCAACTCCTTGGCAGTGCAAGTAAGCAGGGCCTTCTCTCCACTGGGTATACCCTCTCTAAGTCGTTCAGGCCTCCTCTCCACCCGCTCAGGGCAGGCCTCCTCTTGGTGGTGCATGCCCCCTCTCAGCTGTACAGGCCTCTCTGCCTTTGGCCTCCCTGCTGTCAGCCTCTACACTACTAACTATCCAGCTCATAGTGTAGCAGCTTTGTTCAGTTGTCTTAGCTGACTCCTAGCAACAGGCTTCTGCCATCACCACAGACTCTGCCGAAGAGCCACTTCCAGGCCTGTAACGGCCGACTCTGCTGCAGGACCTTTTCCAGGCCTCTTGCTGTCTTCAGTGTTACAGCTGTTTTAGGTTTCTTACCTCTTTTCTCTCTGCTTCTTCTCTCCTCTCTTCTTGCCTTTTTTCCCTTTCTTCTTTCTTTTTGTGACCTCTGTGGGGTTGGCTGCATATATAAGCAAACTCTGTCAATTTCAAGGCATGGCACTCCCAGCAGGGCCACAAACCGATCAATCCCCTTGGTGGATAGTAGTCACTTCTCTTGCATAGTCTATAGTCACTTTATTTGCATAGTCTATAGTATGTTGACCAATCCCTGCAAGGTATGTAAAATAGACCAATCACAGGGTAAGGTGAAGCCCTGGGTCAGACAAAAAGTATCAAACCATCAAGTTGTTTATAGCTTACCCAGGAAATGTCAATTAACCTGGTTAAAAGTAACAAACCCTCTGGGGTAGAAAACAAGGGCAAAGGTAACTCCTCAGGGTTTAGGGGAAAAACCTCTTGAGCTGTTTTTCCAAAGAACTAAGGCAAAAGGCCACATAAATGAACTCATTTCACCACAAGAGGGCAGAGGCTTACATGACCAGGAAAGTATCTCTGTGTCCTTCAAATCTCTGAGATTCAGTGTTGAGAAAAGGTGAAGGAAGACAAGACCTACCATTAATATGGGTCTCCTCCATTTGAACACCCCTGCAAGGAATAAGCCCACTCTTAGATGGCTTGAACTTGAGATCTGAGACCTTAAAGATTTCAACCAGCTAGACTGATGGACCCACACTGACAGACTGAGACATAACAGAGGCAAATGCAGTCTTGGTCTTAGGTTAAAAACACCTGCAAGGCTCCTGTGCAGAGGCGAAATGAAAAGGCAGAGAGGGTCAAGAGCTGGTTGAATGGACACAGGAAATCCAGGGTAGAAAGGAGAAGTGTGCTGTCACAGTATAGGGACAGCAACTAGGGTCACATAGCTATGTGTGTATAAATTATTTTATGAGAAACTGACTTGAATTGTAAACTTTCACTTAAAGAACAATAAAAAAAATTTTAAATACACATACACACACAAAGAACATTGTGTGTGATTTTAGGACAGACTCATGTAGTACAAGTATAAAAACATGCATGGGATTTTTGAAAACTCAAAACTCAGGTGCATCTGTCGAAACCAAACTGCCCTATTAGGAGGCAAAAAGAGCAATGCAATAAAGGAGAAGTAGAGCGAGGGCTTCAATTAAAAAGAAAACTTGAAGTAATAGGATTAAAATGATAGCATTTGATTACTTACAGCAATATGTACCCAGGTAATTTCTTTAATTTCCTAAAATTACTTCTTTTAAAAAATACAAGTAATAAGTAAACATCATCTTGTATTTCATGAGTCTGAATGTTCTCAACAGCAACTAACAACATCATGCAAAAAAAAACACCTGCAAAACCAAAATTACAGATGCTTATACCCTCTGACCTAGCAATTCCTCTTCTGAGATTTCTTCTACAGGCATACCTCACATGTGCAAAATAATGTATGTGCAAGATTATTTATTATACCACTTTTTTATTTAAAATTTTGTAAAAAATATAGGTAACACCACTATCTTAGTTATCTAGTGCTCCTATAATACAAATGCCACAAGTCGATGGCTTCACTAAACAGACGTTTATTCTCTCATAGCCTAGTAGGCTAGAAGTCCGAATTCAAGGCGTCAGCTCCAGGGGAAGATCCTTGTCATCAATCTTCCCCTGGTCTAGGAGCTTCTCAGGCGCAGGGACCCTGGGTCCAAAGGACGCATTCTGCTCCTGGCCCTGCTTTCTTGGTAGTATGAGGTCCCCCATGTCTCTCTGCTCCCTTCTCTCTTCTATATCTCAAGAAAGATTGATTCAAAATACAATCTAATCTTGTAGATTGAGTCTCATCAACATAACTGTCACTAATCTCATTAACATCACAGAGATAGGATTTACAACACATAGGAAAATCATATCAGATGACAAAATGGTGGACAATCACACAATACTGGGAATCATGGCCTAACCAAGCTGACAGATATTTTGGGGGGACACAACTCAATCCATGACAATTAATAAACTATAGCTGGATTCTCCCATGAAATATGGTCTGACCTGATGGCGCATACCAGACTCATAAGTTTCCTGTTGAGACCTTCCCTTGAATCTATTCATCAGAACTACTTCCTGAATTTTTGGAGGAAAAGAAACATAACTATGCAACTACATTCTATAAATGAAAATACAGTAAGAGAAAATGATATTTTTTGGACTTCTTTGATTTTGGAGGAAAAAAACCTCACTATAATCACATAAGGATTGAGATTTAAGGCACCTCTCAACTTTACACTTGGAAGTGGATCTTTGACAAAATGATGCGCATGTCGACAACAAACAGACAGTGGATTCTGATGAAAGGCATGCTTGAGCCCTGATGCCTCAAAGCAGGAAGATGCCCTCTACCCTCTGGACGTACTCAGCACTCAGCTCATATCACACTGTGTAGGGTTAACCATATACCTGTCTGCCTTTCCCACCACACTGTGAGCTTCCTGACTTCCCAAGAAGGATCTCATTCACCTTTGGGTCCACAGCCTGGAATAGAGGTTCAATCAATATTTGTGAATTGAGCGAGTGAACACAAACTGCTTGTCTTAATTGTCTAGTGCTGCTGTAACCGAAATAACCACAAGCAGATGGCTTTAATAAACAGAAATTTATTTTCTCATAGTTTAGGAAGCTAGAAGTCTGAATATAGATTGTCAGCTCTAAGGGAAGGCCTTCTCTCTCTGTGGGCTCCAGAGGAAGGTACTTATCTCTTCAGCTTCTGCTTTCTGGTTCCTTGGAGATCTCCATGTGTCTTCGTATCCATCTTACCCCATCTCTGCTTCTTCGCCTGCTTGTTTAATCGCTTTTATAATTCAATATACTCCCTACACAAATCCTGCCTCATTAGCATAACAAAGACAACCCATTCCCAAATGGAATTACAACCACAGGCATAGAGGTTAGGATTTACAACACATATTTTGGGGGACGTAATTGAATCCATAATACCGTTTATCCTTTAACATGAACTTTCATCTTTCTAGACCCAGTGGCCACCCCAGTCCTGAACATCAGTGTCATTCAGACAGAAGCAGGCCTATATATAACACTACGCTGCATCTCGCCCAACGGCTTATTGCCCATCAATTATACTTTCTTTGAAAAAAATGTCGCCATATCACCAGCTATTTCCAAAGATGTAAGAGAGCCTGCTGAATTTAACTTCACCCAGAAGAGCACCCAAGGAGATGAAGAGTATAGGTGTAAAGCTAAAAACAGATTGCTTAACAATGCAAAATACAGTCAGCACACCCTCATTCCCTTAACAGGTAAGAGCTATCTGAGCCGGATTCCTTTCAACAGGGTCTGGGTTTGCTTCCAGAAATGGCAGCTGCTCCTCTGCCCACCCACTTCCCACTTTTGGCGACCTGCTTGCAAATGTCTCCCCTCTAGGCGGGTCCACGCAAACTCTGGTGGGCATGTTTTCTGCCATAAATGAACCATAGAAAAGTCTAGAAGCTGGGGTAGGAAGGACCCTGTAGTGAGATTTGCTGACCCGACTCTGATTCCGCCACGTCCTTCTCTACCACACAGGTTTTCAGCAGCCACATTAGAATTTGCATCTCTCTTGGATTCATCTCTTGGTTTTGTTTTTTCAATTTTTTTTTAAATTGGTTTTTAACTCCTGTGCCTGCCCAATTGGCTGTTTACTGCCCTACTGCTAACATTTTCAGGAAGGACAATGGCTAAGCACTCGGCTGCTAACGGAAAGGTTGGCTGTTTGAACCGACCCAGTGGCTCCGTGGGAGAAAGACCTGGCGATATGCATCCCTCTTATAGCCTAGGAAACCCTATGGGGCAGTTCTACTCTGACACATAGGGTTGCCATGAGTTGGAATCAACTCCACGGCACCTAACAACAATAGACTTCCAGCATCACTGTTAGCCAGGGGCAATGGGGGCCCCTGCCAAGCCGTGGGTTTCAGAGGGAGGGCGCTGCTCTGGTAAGTATCGTCCAGGCACTATCTGATGGGCTGAGCAGGCTGGGAGGCTACGAGGATGTGCCCGCCTGGAACCTATGGCCCTGCTTTTCTACTCTGGGTACCTGACCTCAATTCCCTACCCAGTCTGACCCAAACCTGCTTCCAGAACCTGCACAAGTCTCCTCCCTAGCTCATCCTTCCAAAGGTGGACTACGGTGTGAGCATCTCTAGAACTGAGCCAAGGGAGCTGTTTATGCAGGATGTGGATGATATGTGGACTTCTGGACTGAGGGGTCCATACGCATGCAAGTCCACCAGGCAGCTCTCTCCTTGCTTTCAAGTGCCAGAGCAAAATTTCAGGAGTATAAAAATTCTAAATTCAAACCTGTCCTTCCAGGTCCTTATGAAGGTACATTTATCAAGGTAAGAGAAGGATAGAATAAAACCTTGGTTAGCAAAGGGAGAAGATCCACTTGGGCATTGAACACTTCACCCAGCCCCATCTTCAGAAGAATAGAGCCCGAACCCTGGTGTTCAGTAAGTTGTAACAAGTGAGGTAGCTTGTTGGAGCCCAGCTTGTGGCTACAAAACCCAGCCCTCCCACTGTGGGGACCATGGTCTCGGGGAACATCTAGCTCAACTGGCATAACACAGCTTATAAAGACAATGCTCTACATTCTACCTTGGTGAGTAGTGTCTGGGGTCTTAAAAGCCTGTGAGCGGCCATCTAAGATACTCCACTGGTCTCATCCCTTCGGGAGCAAGGGAGAATGAAGAGAACAGGATACAAGGAAAAGATTAGTCCGAAGGACTAGTGGACCACAGCTACCAAGGCCTCCCTCGGACTGAGTCCAGTACAGCTAGATGGTGCCCGGCTACCACCACTGACTGCTCTGACCAGGATCACAACCGAGGGCTCTGGACAGAGCTGGAGAAGGATATAGAACATAATTTTAACTCACAAAAAAACGACCAGATTTACTGGCCTAAAGGAGACTGGAGAAACCCCGAGAGTATGGCCCCCAGACACCCTTTTAGCTCAGTGGTGACGTTATCTCCGAGGTTCACCGTTCAGCCTGGGAGTGGACAGCCCCGTAAAACCAAATGAGACTAATGAAGTACAGTAGTCCAGTGACAAGGGCCAGAAGGCAGAAGGGGACAAGGAAGCTGGTGATAGGGAACCCAAGGCTGGGTAAGGATATCGTTGATGTGTTGTGAGATTGTTAACCATTGTCACAGGGCAACATTTGTAGTAACTGTTAAATGAAAAACTATTTTGTTCTGTAAGCCTTCATCTTAAGTGAGAATAACAGCACAACTGGAAGAGTGTAGTCAATGTCACTGAACTGTGCATGTAGAAATTTTTGAAATGGTGTATCTTTAGCTATGTGTATTTTCACCAAACAAACAAAAAAAATAGGTTGAGAAGTTAGAGGGTTGACATGTTGTGGGGTTGTTAACCAATGTCATAAAACAATATGTGCACTACTGTTTCATGAGAAACTATTTGTTCTGTAAGCCTTCACCTGAAGTACAATTAAAAAAAACAAAACAAAAACCCAGCCCTCCCATTTACTAGCTGTGTGGCCTCTGGAAGGCCACTTAACCTCTCTGAGCCTCACTTTCCTCATCTGTAAAATGGGTGGAATATAAATGAGATAAATAAGGCAATATGTGTACAGTGCTCAGCACAATGCCTTGCATGGAGTACTAAATGGTAGCTGTTTGGGTGACACAAATCAGACCAGCATGGCTGAGAGTTCTGCTCGTTAAACGGCCCAGCCTTTCTGATGGTTACAACCCTAATAAATGTTGCCAGTAGTCAGTCTGTTACATGCTGTGCTGCTTTTCTCTTCCAGGTATGATTCCTTTGTGGGAGATGTGCTTGGTTATGACTTTAGGACTTTGTGGACTAACAAGTTAACAACTATCAAGAGTTGCAGGTGTCTATAGCAGTATGGGAACCAGAGGTGCACAGCACGTTGGTCACCTTGGGAAACAGCCATGATTGCCCTTGTTTGAACACTTAACAGTTCAATGTCATTGCAAGAGAAGGCTGTGCGGTTAAATTGACCAGTGAATGCCTTCTCTTCCAGACGGAGATGGCTGTGCTCTCTGCCTGCAGGTACTGCTTCCAGGGTTATTACTAGTGCTAATAGTAATAGCCGTAATCCTGGCATGTTGGATACTACCAAAATACAAAGCAAGTAAGTTCTTTAGGAGCTTTACTATTTTCTCCCCATGAGTGACGGATACAGACAGCAGGGGCAGAGGTGGAAGCAGAGGGTGAGGAGGAAGGGAACCCGGAATCAGAAATGGGATGGGAAGAAAATGAAAAGAGGAGAAGGATGAGGGTGGATGAAGTCGACCTCCTCAACAGTTCACACATACTAGTGTTCTTTCTTATTCAGATGACTTCATGGCCCTGTGACCTGTGCAGTCCCACAGGGCCTCACTTAGAGGGCCCTGTGCTTGGTTTAATGCTCTGCTGTCACCATCTTGAAATTCTTAATCATTTTTTAAACAAGAGGCCCCACATTTTCATTTTGCACTGGGCTCTACAAGTTACATAGCCCATCCTGATTACAAGCTCATCAAAGGCAAGAGTCTTGCATTTTTCAGCATCCTCAGCGGGTCTACCTATATTAGTTTGCTGTGGCTGCCATAACAAAGTACCACAAACTGGGAGGCTTAAAACAAGAATTGATTGTCTCACAGTTCTGGAGACTACAAGTCTGAAATCAAGGTGTCAGCCGGACCAGCTGTTTCTGAAGGCTCTAGGGGAAGATCCTTCCTTGCCTCTTCCAGCTTCTGCTGGTTGCCGGCAATCCTTGGCTGTCCTCAGCTGGTAGATGCATCACTCCAAGTCTGCCTCCTCCTTCACGTGGCTGTCTTCCCCCTGCCTCTCTCTAGTTCTGTGTCCCTTCTCCTCTTTTTATAAGGACACCAGTCATATTGGATTAGGATCCACCCTACTCCAGTACGACCTCGTGTAACTTAACTGATAACATCTTCAAAGATCCTATTTCCAAATAAGATCATAATCACAGGTACTGGGGTTAGGACTCCAACAGGTTTTTCTGAGGGGGACACATTCAACCTATTCACTACCACTTAGAGGAAGACGCTCAATACACAAAGACAAACAAGAGCATCCTTCCTTTCTTCCCCACCTGAAGTGCTGTCTCCAGCAGAAAATGTTTATACTCGTTAATGTCCTCAGAAGAAACCTCAACTACTGCTCATTGGCAGAGCAGATGAGGAAAATGTGGCTAACTTGATTTAATTTAATAATTCTGTACCAATTTATGTAGGAAAACCTATGAGAGATAATGGGCCCAAGGACTATGGACATACGCCCATGGAAGTTGGAGAATATGCAGCTATGTATAAAAACCAAGGAGGTGAAGGATCTGACTGCTTTTCCCTCTTCACCTCCCATGACCACCTCTGGTTAAGATTTCAAAGTTGCCTTTGCAACTGGCACACCAGTGTGGAGGAATAGCTGGATTGGCACAAAAGACTTTCTGTGTCCAGCACTGTTACCGTCTAGCCAGCTGAGGGACGTTGGGCAGACTCCTTCACCTCGCTGAGCCCCAGCACCCTGACCTGTAGAATGGGGCCGTGGGAGATCCTGCCACAACTGATGGGCGAACTATGTGTTAAGGGTCAGGCTCCTGTGCCTCCCTCCATGTCTACAGAAAGCCCCAGTTCAGAGAAGCCAGGGATTCAATTGACAGAAAACTTGAAAAGAGATGCCAAAATGTACACATCTTGTACATTTTTTAAACTTGTCTCCCCTTCCCATGAAAAGCCTAGGTTCTTGCAAAAGTGAAATTAATATTCTTGTTTAGTGGCCTGGGCTAGAACAGCACTCAGCTGGATAATTTACTGTCTCTTGAAGAGATTACAAAGCTTCTTACAGACTCGACTCTTCAGCAAAGAAAAATGTGCCTGGCCATCTCAAGCATAATCTGATAGGCAAAGGATGTTACTCATACAGCCAAGAACATAATCATAAGGGCTTCTGGGTGCTTTAGACTCTTTGCCAGGTTCTCAGTGATCCTTCATCTGACAAAAGTTTAGGCTGTTAGAGCAGGTCACGCTTTCTTTCAGAACTTCTCCGGATTCTACTCACTGGCAGAATTGAAAAAATGTGGCTCAACTGACTTAATAATTCTGTATTAATTTATGCAGGAAAATCTATGAGAGATAATGTGTCCAGGGATTATGGAGATACGCCCATGGAAGCTGTAGAATATGCAAATTTCTATAGAAACCAAGCAGGTAAGGGATCTTGTTTTTTGGTTTTCATTTTTGTTGTTGTTGTTGTTTTTATGGTAACACAGACATATGGGTAAAAAGTAACTAAAAGGAGTAGCTTGCAATGACTCCCTCCCATCCTGATGCCCAGTCCTGCTCTCCAGGGGAAACAACCAGTTTTTTATATCCTTCCAGATATTCTGTGTGTGTGTCATGGCTTCAAACCAGTTCATTCCGGTCCGCTCCCATGCTGAGAATTTGCATTTCCACCCCAGATATACTGAATCAGAATCTATATTTTAACAAGATCCCCAGGTAATTCTTACATACACATAAGACATCTTGGCTGAATTGACTTAATGTAATAATTCTGTACCAATTTACGTAGGAAAATCTATGAGAGAAAATGTGCCCAGGGACTATGGAGATATGCCCATGGAAGCTGCAAAATATGCATATATGTCCTTATGATTATTTTCCAGGTTTACATTTGAGACGGTCAGATACATTTTCTTTTTTTTTAATGTATACATAAGAATAACCTGGGGATCTTGTTAAAATATAGATTCTGATTCAGTATATCTGGGATGGAAAAGCAAATTCTCAGCAGGGGGTAGGACCGGAAGGAACCAGTTCGAAGGCCTGCTACATGCAAGCATCTAAACAAATGGTAGCACATCATAGATATGCTTTTCTACACCTTTATTTTTCACTTAACAACATATCTTGGAGTTTTTTAAGTATCATTTCAGAGTAATCCACACCCTATTCCAGGGTCTTCTATAGTCACCTCTTAGAACAGACATCACACACTGCTTTCCTGTAAATGAGACCCAGTGCCTTGCTAACTACAACAACAATCCCAGCCAACACGGACTCAGCAGCCACCACGCTCTGGACACAGTGCTAAGCAATTTGCCTGCACTATCTAATGCAAACACCACTAACTCCCAATTTATGTCATTCCCATTTTACAGATAAAGAATCTGTGCCACGCTTGGAACCAAGGCAGTATGTTCCCACAGCCCAAGATGGTAAGAGCTTTCTGCAAAGTCCAGTGGCTATCCACCGTTACAAGGGCAGTTGGCTAAGCCACTTTCCTCATCTAGTCAGAGATTCAGATTATTGGCCCAATAACTACTATTCCTTACCTTTCGCCCAGGTACCAACTCCCAGGAGTTACATTACGCTACCCCCACATTCCAGAAGGTGGCATCAGGAAAGCATGGTGAGCCACTGCTGTTGAAATGAGCAAGTAGTACCTGTGAGGTCACTGTACTACTCCCAGGCTTCAGGAGCCCAAGGTTGGGGCAGATGAGAGTAACATGCACACTCCAGGAAACCAACAGTAACCAAGACCACAGCTCCTAACAAATATCATCAGGAAATGAGTGGAAAGAAGAAGGGAAGGGTGTGGTAGGGGTAGTGTCATATAAGAAATCCAGAGATGAGGATGCAGGGTCACTACTGAAACATTTTCAAGAATAAATTATTTATCTTAGGTGAAGGGAAGGACAGCACACACTACAGGGGAAGTCAGCACAACTGGACTAAACCAAAGCTAACAAGTTTCCTGAATACAATCAAACACTTTGAGGGACAGAGTAGCAGGGGTAGGGATCTGGGGACCATGCTTTCAGGGGACATCTAGGTCAATTGGCATAAGAAAGCTTATTAAAAAAAATGTTCTGCATCCTACTTTGGTGAGTGGCATCTGGGGTCTTAAAAGCTTGCAAGTGGCCATCTAAGATGCATCAACCGGTCCCAACCACCTGGAGTAAAGGAGAATGAAGAACACCAAAGACACAAGGAAAGTATTAGCCCAAAACACAGAAAGGGCCACATAAACTAGAGACTTCATCAGCCTGAGACCAGAAGAACTAGACGGTGCCCAGCTACCACCAATGACCGCCCTGACAGGGAACACAACAGAGACTCCCTGATGGAGCAGGAGAAAGGTGGGGTGCAGAACTCAAATTCTAATAAGACCAGACTTAACGGTCTGAGACTGGAGGAACCCCAGAAAGCATGGCCCCCGGATTCTCTATTAGCCCAGAACTAAAACAATCTCCGAGGCCAACTCTTCAGACAGGGATTGGACTGGACTGTGGGACGTAAAGTGATACTCGTGAGGAGTGTGTCTCTTAGCTCAAGTAGATACAAGAGACTAAAAGGGCAGCTTCTGTCCGGAGGTGAGATGAGAAGGCAGAGAGGGTTAGGAGCTGGTTGAATGGACATGGAGAATCAGAGGTGGAAAGGAGGAGTGTGTTGTCACAGTATGGGGAGAGCAATTAGGGTCACATAAGAATGTATGTATAAATTTTTGTATGGGAGACTAACTTAAAATGTAAACTTCATTTAAACTACAACAATAAAAAAAAAAGAATAAATGATTTAATATAGTCCAGGAAAAAAATCAATGAACATTTGGTTCTATCAGGCCACCCAGCCACTTGAAATAGTATTCTTTTTATTTTTTTTTCTAATAGCCTCACTGGGTACACATTCCAAGTTTTTTGAATTATCCCTCTCTTACCTTTCAGAAGCCTGTAACGATTACAAAACTAACGATTACAAAACTAACTACGTATATTCTGACCTCATCTGAAATTGAAAGATACAAACTACATCTCAGGGTAAGATACTTTTTATAAAGATGATTTACATGAAGAAAAAGAACACTTGCTTGACACTTAGACATGTCTAACCTCGTTACTTTCAAGTGAATCACTATTTCTCATGTTTAAACACTACTCCTTTTGCCCATTTGGGTATATTCAATCCTGTCATCAGTTTTGTCAGGTGGGACCCCACTGGTAGCGGTTTTGAAGTATTTTGCTATATATAGGCATGGACCGTTACTCCTATAACCACCTCATTTTTAAAGAGAATACTGCTCTTCATAAATGCATTCTGGAAGCATTACGATGACCATTTTTCAGGTTTCCCTGCCCCATGCCCACTGAGGGTTCAAAAGCAAAACTCGTATCTAAATTCTAAAAAAGAAGTAGGTGACCTTGAAAATATGTCTGAAGAAAACCGTTTGCAGCCACCATGAGAAGAAGGCAAGATTACTCAACAAGTACCCATTTATCATCCATTGTGATTTTAATGTGCTCTTAGATGTTGTAAGGCTGCAAAAATATTTATATTGATTTTCATTATCTTTCTAAGTCCTCTAGATTTAGCTAATGCCAAAGGGAGCATTTTCCATCAGCGTTCTGTGGAGAGAACCACCCAGATTGAGTGCAGGCGGAGAGGGAACAAAATGATTTCCGGTTTGAATTTCTCACAGGCATTGAAATCCAATAAAATTCAAGAGGCAGGTTCTAGACAAACTTTTATCAACTTGACCAAAACATTCTTGCTCTGTTCTTCTTTTTAGGGGTTGCCTGAACCTCTGACTAGAAAAACCCGTTGCTGTCAAGTCGACTCCGAGTCATAGCAACCCTATAGGACAGAGTAGAACTGCCCCATAGGACTTCCAAGGGGTGGATGGTGGATTCAAACTGCCGACCTCTTGGTTAGCAGTCGAGCTTTTAACCACTGTGCCACCAGGGCTCCTAGTTGTGAAGCTATAGCATAGTAAATTAGGAGCCTGGGTGGTGTAAGCAGTTTGTAATCGGCTTCATTTGCAGCAGCTCCAGCTCCAACAAAGGCTGGCTGGCTGTCTTAGTCATTTAGTGCTGCTATAACAGAAATACCACAAGTGGATGGCTCTAACAAAGAAAAATTTATTTTCTCACAGTCGAGCAGGCTACAAGTTCAAATTCAGGGCATCAGCTCCAGGAGAAAGCCTTCTCTCTCTCTGTCAGCTCTGGAGGAAGGTCCTTGTGATGCATCAATCTTCCCTTGGTTGGGGAGAATCTCAGCACAGGAACCTCAGGTCAAAAGGATGCACTCTGCTCCCGGCACTGCTTTCTTGGTGGTATGACGCCCCCATTTGTCTCTGCTTGCTTCTCTTTTGTATCACAAAAGAGATTGGCTTAAGGCACTATTTAATCTTGTAAACCTCATCAGTGTATCTGCCACTAATCCATCTTATTATTAGATCATAGTAATTGAATTTACAACACATAGGGAAATCACATCAGATTACAAAATGGTACACAATTATACAATACTGGGAATCATGACCCAGCCAAGTTGACAGATATTTTTGGGGGACACAATTCAATCCATGACACTGGCTAACTGCTTCCGTAAAGACTGCAGCCAAGAAAACCCTATGAAGCAGTTCTACTCTGTAATACACGGTGTCGCATGAGTTGGAGGCCAACTCGATAGCAACTAACAACAATAACAACACAGCATACTAAGAGTTACTGCCATCCCACTTACCACCAGCAATGGAGTCCTTGTTGCCATCTGTCCAGTGAGAATTCAGCTTCCCAGGGGTGGCTTCCTAAGGTCTTCTGATACCCTGTCTTATCCTGAGCTAGTCCTGAAAGCAGAACTTGAGATAAGGCCTGCTCTGCAAATAATTTATGTGGGAGGTGACCCCAGGGAACAGGAGTTAAGAGACTGGAGAAAAAGCCTGTGGTTGTTGTATGCCATCCATTCAATTCTGACTCATAGTGACTGTCATGGATTGAATTGTGTCCCCCAAAAGTATCTGTCACCTTGGCTAGGTCATGATCCCCAGTATTATATGATTATCTACTATTTTGTCATCTGATGTGATTTCCCTATGTGTTGTAAAACTTATCACTATGATGTAATAAAATGGATTAGCGGCAGTTATATTGATGAGATCTACAGGATTAGATAGTGTCTTAAGCCAATCTCTTTTGAGATATAAAAGAGAGAAGCGAGCAGAGACGGGGATCTCATACCACCAAGAAAGCAGTGCCGGGAGCAGAGCGCATCCTTTGGACCTGAGGTTCCTGCACTGAGATGCTCCCAGACAAAGGGAAGATTGATGACAAGGACCCTCCTCCAGAGAGAAGAAAGCTTTCCCCTGGAGCTGGCGTCCTGAATTTGGACTTCCAGTCTACCTGTGAGAGAATAAATTTCTCTTTGTTAAAGCTATCCACTTGTGGTATGTTATAGCAGCACTAGATGACTAAGACAGTAACCCTATAGGGTAGAGTAGAACTGCCCCATAGAATTTCCTAAGCTGAAATCTTTATGGGAGCAATCACCAGGTCTTTTCTCTCACAGAACCACTGGTGGGTTCTAACCACCAACCTTTCAGTTAGAAGCCATGTGCTTTAATCGTTGCACCAACAGGGGTCCTTGGAAAAGCCTATAGAAAGGTGTATTATTGAGTTGGGCACTGCTTTGGAAAACTGGGGCTTGATACCACTGGAACATTCTGAGAGGTGAAAGAATTGTCCATGAGGATCAAGAGTGAGAAACATTTATCCATTGGCTTCCATCTCTCATTGGCTGAGGGTTGCCCCAACCCCAAAACCAAACCCATTGCCGTTGAGTTGATTCCAACTCACACAGTGACCCTATACGACAGAGCAGAACTGTCCCATAGGGTTTCCAAGGCTGTAAATCTTATACAGAAGCAAACTGTCACATCTTTCTCCCGTGGAGTGGCTAGTGGGTTCAAACCGCCAAGCCTTTGGTTAGCAGCTGAGCACTTAACCACTGTGCCACCAGAGCTTGGAGGGTTGCCCCAGGAGGTGTCAATTCTGCCCACACGTCTAGGCTTCCATTGGGCGTTCCCAGCAGGTTTCCATTGGTGTTTCACCTCCTGGCACTTTACACTCCCATGAAAGTCTCCATATCTCTACACCTTCAACCCTTGGCATTATCTGTCATTTTAATTTCAACCATTTTTGTAGGTATTTAGCGGTATCTTGTTGGGATTTTAATTTGCACTTTCCTGATGACTAATAAAATTGAGCACTTTTTCCTGTAATTATAGGGCATTTCATTTTTTCTTTTATGAAGTATCTGTCTGAGGCCCTTGCCTATCTTTCTACTGGGATTTGCGGCTTTTTCTTGTTTGTAGTTATTCTCCCACTCTGTAGCTTTATTTTCCACTGTCTTAATGATACCTTTTGATGAAAAGAATTTTAGAGAACTTAATTTGTCTATCTTTTCCTTTCTGGTTAATGTTTTCTGTGCCCAGGTCAAGAAATCTTTTAACTGAGGTCATAAAGTATTGGCCTATATTATTATCTTGTAAAACGCTTTTTAGTTTACATTCATATTTAGGTCTACACCCACCTACAAATGTTTCTGTGTGTGATGTGAAGTTGGGGTTATGTTTCTTTTCTTTCCCCCTACGGATATCCAGCTGCTCCACACTGCTTACTGAAGTGACTGTCCTTTTCCCACTACACTGCAGTGTCATCTTCGTCACAAATCAAGTGTGGGTTTGTTTCTGGGCTCTAGATTCTGTCCCGTTGGTCTACTTGTCTCTCCTAATGTCAGCACCATACTCAACTTTTTAATAAGTCTTGATAACTGGAAGAGCAAATTTTCCTACCTTGTTCTTCTTGTGAATGTCTTAGCTATTCTTGGCCCTTTGCATTTCCACATAAATTTTAGTCAGCTTGTCATGTTCTTAAAACAAAAACAACAAAAACTATTATCAGTTTGGGGAGAAGTAACATTTTTACAATATCAAGTCTTCCAAACTATATACATGGTTTATCTCACCATTTGTTTAAGTCTTCAATTCTCTCAGCAATGTTTTACCATTTTCTGTATAAACTTCTTGCGTATATTTTGCTAGAACTATTCCTAGATACTTAATATTTTGATGCTATGGTATGTTATATTTTTATTTCAAGTTGCTGACATATAAGGACACATTTTTTGTTGACTCTGTACCCAGCAACCTTGCTAAACTCTTTACAATTTTAATAATTTAACTGTAGATTTTCTTACAATCTGAAGATCAGAAAACTACTACCGCTACAGGTAACATTGCTGCCTCTGCCACAAGTGCCTCATGCCCAGAAACTGGAGACCTGACAGTAGAATGCAGAGCTTTGCCACTACAGACATCTGCTTGTCAGCCACAGCTGCCACCTCGCTTCTACTCTCCAAATTCAAGTACGCACATCCAACTGGTGGAAGATAAACCACATCCATAACCTTGGCTGCAAAGGAATAAGTCAAATAAAGAGAGGCTGTGTAGGTGTATAAGGTTTGAAACAACATTATAAAAAGCATAGTTGTAGTACATGACTTACAAATAGAATAATGGAACAGAATAGAAACAGCTACATATGGGAATTTAGGGTCTGATAAATATGGCATTTCAAATCAGTCATAAAAATATGGGTTATTTAATATATTGTATTAAAAAACCTGAGGACCACATTAAAACAGTAAGTTGGATCCCTATCTCACTCTTTACAACAAAATTCAGATAGATCAGATATTAAAATACATAAAAACAAAGTCACATAAGTGCTAGAAGAAAACAGGGAATTTAAAAATAATCTTGAGTTGGGGAAGGCTTTTCTAGGTGTGATTCACAACCCAGAAGATATAAATGATTATTAAATTTGACTACAGGGAAACCAGAGTATGGGAAATGGAACAAACAGAACACAATTAAAGAGAATGTCAAAACATTGTGATAAACGTAACTAATGTTACTGAACAATTTGTGTGGAAACTGTCAGTTGGGAATCTAACTTGCTATGTAAACGTTCACCAAAAACTCAATAAAATACTATTAAAAACACTTACTAGATGAAATATTTAAAATACATATACATATAAAAGCCATAAACCAAATCAAATGAACAACTACAAGAAAATAGTTTCAACCTATATTTTAAAGTACGAAGTTACATAGTATATAATAAGCTCCTACAAAGCATTAAGAAAAAGACCAATAATCCAATAGAAAAATGGAAAATATGGGTTATGTGCAGGATAACACCAGGGCATCTAGGATGACGAGTTGCAAAAACAGGAAATGCTCTGACCAGCTGCCCTCAAGACTGTGAACGAAGGCTAGAAATAAAGCAGCTGCCTTTATGATCACGAGGCAACAAGTATAAAGATAAAAGCCAACTAAAGTACTTAAATGAATAATTTCTTTTAAAAGGATCAGCACAAAGCTGGTGCCTATGAGGCGGAGGTTAAAGATATCCCAAATGTTCAACTTTTCCAAACTGATAAACCACTCAATCATCTCTAACATCAACTACTCCTCCTCCCCTCAGTACTCTCCCTCTCACCTTTGGGTTCTGTAACTCACTGCAACATCTCACAGAACTCACAAATTGTGCTTACAGTTAATTGGTTTATTAGGGAAGTAAAGGGGTACACCTCAGGATCAGAAATAATTCAGGATACAATTCTTCGATCAGGACAGCTTCTTCTTAGCTCTGCCGACAGGAAGGCCTCTTTCTAGCCCGTGGCCTCTTGGCCTCACCTCTGCCCTGCTCAGTCAAGTGTTACTGAGCTCTTAGCTCTGTGGGTCAGCAAGTCCCACTGCAGCCATCTCATGCCACTTTCACTCTTGCTACTGCTGCAACGCTGTCTCTGTCTTCTGTGTTACAGCTCCTCCCTATCTCTCTCCACATCTTCCTTTAAGCCTAGTGGGATGGCAAAACTGACCAATCCCTTCGTTAGGGTTCCATATACCTTATTTGCATGATCTACCCCCACAAGGTTCCATGCACCTTATTTGCATTAGCAGCAAGCTGTCCAATCTCCTTGGTGGGCCATAAGCATTTTATTTGCATAGTCGTCCCACCCAATCACTGTGTGGGGTTACAAAGATTATAGCTAGAAGGGCCATATTAAGTAACTCACTGTACCACAGTACTAAAGATAGTGGTGCAGAAAGATAAAGCCTGGGCCCCTAACTATGAACAGCTATCCTCACTCTAGAAAGCCTATCCTCTAGATTTCTTGTTATATAAGAAAAAACCCCAATTTGCTTTTAATCCAGTATAGTATAATTTTTTGTAGCCAAACACATTCCTAACTGATACAACAGAATACATCAAGAAATGTAATAAAAACTGAATCAAAGAAAGCATAAAAAATGTCCACTTTTAAGTGCAAAGAGGCTTAAAAAAACTAAGCTAACATAAAACAACCAAATTAGGAAAGAAAAATATTTATTTTACAAATATTAAAATCTATACATTCTTAGCTGATGTTATATACTTGGTTAAAAAGTCTTTTACTTTGGATATATGCATCATTTCCTTCATTGTGGTATCTCTACTTCTCAGATGAATTAATCCATTCTCCAAAGTCGCTTCAGTAACCAAAACTGTGAAAAGGATACTCATTTCATCATACCTAAGAACAAAGCAGTTGAACAAAATACATGAGCAAAGATACAAACTGTAAATTTACTATATCATCAGCTTTAATTACTTTAGAGTCCATGACACTTGCAAAAGTCAAAATTCAAAAATAAGGGCTTGAGAGCTGGACCAAAGAAAAGATTTTTTCAAGTTTCTGAAGCATATTCAAACTTTCAGAGAATTTCTAACTTATTGCAATAGCTGATAAGTAATAAAATCTGAAAAATAAACACTGATACCTCAGCATATTATTTGGGAGGATATTATGGAGGAACTTCATAATATCAGCCTTTCTGGTACTTGGACAAAATTATTTTAGAATAAAATCTGTTAAAATAAATAATATTATAATAAAGATCCAGTATACAACAAATCATTACACTTAAATCATGCTTAATGTATAATGTAATATAGGTTCTAGTTAAACAATAATTGAATATATCTGCTTGTCCAGTCACACTATCTCATTACTGTTTATTTTCTTTGCAGGATTCCATCAGAAATTATCTTATTTATCTGTGTATTGTCTGTTTTGTCCCACTAGAATATAAAGGATGCTGGTGTTGGTACCTGTGGATTTTCAATATTAATGTTTTAATTTTGCCAGTATGATTAAAATTGCACTGGCCTTGGGGGATAAAAAAGGATAAAGTTTTTCCTTTTCAGGGCTAGCTTATTTCTACTGAGGACCCAGCGCAGGCCTGTCCATGACACCCCGTCACACAGACAGAATTGGGCTTGGACTGCACAAGAGTCAGCCCCTAACCTGGGTGCTGCATATATTTGCACTTATACGACCTGTAGCTAACCATTTTGTGAGTGCCGAAAAAGAAAAAGAGAAAAATTTTCTGTCTTGTTCACTGAAGTATCGAAGTGCACAGCAGTAGGCACTTACTAAAAACGTAGATAAAACACAGTAGGTACTGACTAAATACTGGGATAAAAATATTCTGGCACGATAATGCATTTACCATATAAAGGACAACTGTGATTTGATAATGTCTACGTGACTCAAAGAGTAAGATTTTAGAACCTGAGAGGAGTGGAAAGTTCAAATACCACCCTTTCATTTTATATATGATAAAACCATTAGTTGCTCTATCTATAGAAACCTATTTTTATGCTGACATCATCTGAAAGGCATATTTTAACAAGTTATCAAAGAACTGAAGAGTAAAATGCAAACTTCACAACTTTTCACCCAACAGATATGGGTGATGGAATTATCTTCCACTCACTCTCAGAACGGACCAGAATGCTGGCAAGGAAAGCCCCTTCAGTCCTGACTCAAAAAATGCACACAAATATACATAATTTCACTCCTGACAAGTTGAAAAATGGAATCATACACGCTTCTGGGTATTATGTCTTAGAGCTGCACATTGTACATGCTCAAATGAACTTGCTGGATAAATACACTATTCTCTGCGCTATCAATTAACTAAGGGTACATGATTCTATAATCAGGAACAATTTAAAATTATATTTTATGTATATTTGGAAGAGATTTGTTTCTGTTACTTATAAGGTAACATCATATAATCAAAAACTCTCAATAAATACATTTTTTAATGACAAGTAAGACAATTTTTCTTACTTTGAATAAAGTTGTTCCAATGAGGAGTGCACAGTTTCCAAATAACCAGGCCACACAGAAATTCCATTTTCTAATAATTCATTAAATAGCCCTTGACAAACCTGAGGGAAAATATAAAAGCTGCAAATATGAAACAAATAAAAGTCAAGCGATCGCCCTATTTTTGTCAAACCACAAATCACTTTCTTCAATCTCCAGAACGGGTATACCCAAAAAACCAAACCCATTGCCGACAAGTGATCTTGACTCATAGGGACCCTATAGGACAGAGTAGAACTGCCCCATAGGGTTTCCAAGGAGCAGCTGATAGACTCAAACTGCCTACTCTTTTGGTTAGCAGCCGAGCTCTTAACCACTGTGCCACCAGGGCTCCAAAATGGGTATAAATTCCTTTAATTATATGATGATAAAATTTACAACTTATAAACTATAACCTTTACAAATGCACAGTTCCTCTAAAGGTGAAGAAACTAAGCACTGTAAAACTGAATATAGGCAGTCTCCAGATTACGAACGCAGTTAGTCAAATGTCTGTTTTAGTATGTAGTATATAGTGTAACTTTCTATGCATAAACAACATTAAAGAAACACACCCGCCCCCTGCAGCAGCAGTAGCCCTTCTCTTTCCCCCTCTCCCTTCCTGGCCTGGTGAAGGGACAGGAAACAAAGACTGCGGCCCACCACAGACTGGTGAGTCCCCCACCTCAGGTCCCTCAGAATGCCCAGAATCACCGCTGCCTGAGGCGCATGGCTGTGAGATGAGGGGTGGGCCCTAGTCAAGGGGCAGTAAGCCAGTGGGGCAGGGGCCAGGCTGGCCAAAGGTCTGGGGCCAGAACTGAGGGCCTGAGAGGGTGTGGTGGGGGCGAGCTGGGGGGAAGGGGGGAACCAGGGTGAGCCAGCAGAGCCCTGGTAGGGGGTGGGTGAGCCGGGTAGAGGAGTGGGAACCAGAGCAGCAAGCCCAGCCGGGGAGTGGGGGTGGAGGACAGCCGGGATGGGTGCCAGGGTCCTGGGAAACTGTGTGTAGCAAAGTAACACTTTGTTGTTATAAACCCTTGTAGGTACCTCGAATTTTTAATATAATAGGCTTTACAGGACTTGGTTCATAACCACAGGTTGTAACATAAGTCAGACTTTTGCAACCTGGAGACAGCCTGTACTAGATGCAAATCTTCTGAAATTTTTATGCCAAGCATAAGAATTTTTATTACCATTGACATTCAAGATACAAACAAACAAAACTAAAACAGATTCTAGCAGATAAAACCAGTAGGTCTAAACTCATCTCAGAGTCCTGAGCTGAGCCCTAGGATACACTACCATGTCAGAAGAGAAGAACGAAGCAGTAAAGAAGACTAAAGAGAAACAGTCAGAAAAGTATGAGGGAAACCAGGAGAGCAGTGTCCCAGAAGCCAGCTAAAGAAAGTGTTTCAAGAAGAGAATGATTTAAAAAAAGAAGAAGAGAATGATTGTGTAAATCCTGATGGTAGTGACCTAAGATGGGAACTGAGAACTCACCACTTGGTTTGCAAGATGGAGGTTGTCATGGATTGAATTCTGTCCCCCAAAAATATGTGTCAACTTGGTTAGGCCATGATTCCCAGTATTGTGTGGCTGTCCTCCATTTTGTGATTGATATGATATTCCTAGGTGTTGTAAATCCTAATCTCTGCCTGTGGTTAATGAGGCAAGATTAGATTATGTTAAAGAGGATTAGGGTGGGATGTAACACCCTTGTTCAGGTCACATCCCTGATCCAGTGTAAAGGGAGTTTCCCTGGGGTGTGGCCTGCACCACTTTTTATCTTACAAGAGATAAAAGGAAAGGGAAGCGAGCAGAGTTGGGGACCTCATACAACCAAGAAAGCAGTGCCAGAAGCAGGCGTCCTTTGGACCCAGGGTTCCTGTGCAGAGAAGCTCCTAGTCCAGGGGAAGACTGATGAGAAGGACCTCTCTCCAGAGCTGACAGAGGGAGAAAGCTTTCCCCTGGAGCTGATGCCCTGAATAAGGACTTCTAGCCTACTTTACTGCGAGGAAACAAACTTCTCTTTGTTAAAGCCATCCACTTAAGGTATTTCTGTTACGGCAGTACCTTGACAAGTCTAGTTTTAGTCGAATGCTAGAGACAAAAGCCTGGCTGCAAATACAGAAATAATAAGGAGTAAATGACGTAGTAAACTTTACTGTTTTCTTAACAAGCAATGGTGAAGCAAGACAAAGCAAAATTAAAAGCGTCCTCAACATCTAGAACTAAAAATCTAGAGTGAGATTTCTCAACCTCCATACTACCGATAAGATTTAGCAGGTACCTGTAGCAGCATGCCTCCACCTCGTGGCAACCAAAAATGTCTCCAGACATTACCAAATGTCTCCTGGAGGGGGAGGGTGACTGACCTAAAGCATTGCTTCTCAAACTTTATCCAGCACCAGAATCACCTGGAGGGCTGGTTAAAACAGAGACTGCTCGGCCTTTCTCTGAGTCAGCAGGCGGGAAGTGGAGCCTATGAATTTACATTTCTAACAAGGTCCCAGGAAGACCATAGAGAAGTGGCTGACTTGGTATTTCTGAAGCAGATGAGAATATAGATGTTAAAAAAACTAAAAAATTAACAGGGAAAAATAAACATTAAGTATGGGTTTTAATAAGTGATTTAAGAGATAGCATTGGAGCCATTATTCCCTGTCCTTTAATGTGACCCAGCTGGAGCTGGACTCATAAGGACACATCAACTGGGCCCTGAGATATAAAAACAATAGCTAGGACAATCCTGGGAAACACCTTTTAGGGAAACTTTCACATAAACTAATCAAAAAAAGGACAAAAGACCCACATATTTTCCACTTTCTTTTATCAGCACTTAGTAAATACTAGGATTTGTTGGACCAATGAAGACCCTCCTGACTGTCATTACTGAAACTTATACCAAGGATTATTAAGAAAGACAATTCAAAATGTAGAATCACCACAGTTTTAGCCAATCTGTGAGAAGGTGAAGCTTTCAATGATTTTACCCATTTGTAATGTTAATATATACTGATGACTCTGTAATGTTCCTCGGGCTCGGGCAGACATGGCTCTGACAGCATGCTCGTCCGTTTTCCCACTTTTGCTTATTCTGTAATACTCCTTGGACTCGAACAGACACGGCTCTGGTAGCATCCCATTGCTGTCGAGTCAATTCTGACTCACAGCGACCCTACAGGACAGAGAACTGCACCACAGTGTTTCCAAGGAGCAGCTGGTCAATTCAAACTGCTGACCTTTTGGTTAGCAGCCACAGCTCTCAACCACTGCACCACCAGGGTCCCTCTGGCAGCATGTTTGTCTGTTTTCCCACTTTTGCCTATTCTGTAACATTCCTTGGACTCAGGCAGACAGGGCTCTGGCAGCACACTTGTCCGTTTCCCACTTTTGCCTCTTTGAACATACGCTGAATAAAATCTTTCTTTTTGCTTTACTGTAACTTTGTGGTGATTTTACCCTAGGACAGAAGTTAGTGGTTACCAGCAGAAAATGTGATCCTTCCAATGGAAGGCAGAAAAGGAGAAAAAATGCTCTAAGCATGAGTAGGTGTTTGTGAAGACATGAAGAAATGAGAACCCTAATACACTATGGGTTAGAGTGCAAGGAGGTGCAGCCATTCTGGAGAACAATCTAGCTGACACAGTGGAATTAAGAATATATATTCATTTCATCCAGAAATCCCATTCCTGTGTATATAACCCGGAAAAATTCTTGCATGGCCCAGAAGGTGACATGCATAAAGATTTTCTCTATCATATTTGCTAAGGGGAAAATGTTAGAAACAGAATATGGTATATAACACAACTACCCTTTTGGTATATGAAAAACACTCCAGGCACATAAAACTACTACAGTCTTATTAAAAAAAAAAAAAAAAGTCTGCAACTGTAATGACAAAAATCTAGAGAGCAGAGTTTTTTATCCTTCAGGCAAAAAAACCCCAGGAACTTGCTACCTATATCAGCGTGCTGGGAGACTGCCACAATGCTGGGAGAGGTGCAGAAAGTAAGTTAAGGGGAAATCAATGACCTGCCCTTTTCTTGAACACACTATCCCCACCATTCTGGGTCCCTCTACAGAAGCCAGGCTCAGAGAGCTATGACCTTTAGTCTTTACATCTTGGCAGTGTCCTCACTTGGGTCCTGGATGGGTCTCAGTTACCTAGAACTAAACGATGACTGCTGAAGGGGGTCTCTGAAGGAGCCTTGGGGGCATGGTGGTTAAGTGCTCCACTGCTAACCCAAAGGTCAGAGGTTTGAACCCATCAGCCACTGCGTGGGAGAAAGATGTGGCAGTCTACTTCCCTAAAGATCACAGCCTTGGAACCCTATGGGGCAGTTCTACTCTGTCCTATAGGGTCGCTATGAGTCAGAATCAACTTGATGCCAACAAGTTAGAAATGGTCTCTGGAAAGAAACTAAAACCACCACCTGGCTTTTCTCAGTATTATTTAATAATTACATATTTAATAAACCCTAGATCTAGAACCTTTGTTTATACCAACAGTTTTGAAAGTATTAAGTTAAAAGGGGCAGGGGGCAATAAATAATTCACTAGACATCTGCATAAATATTTTTATTACCAAAACTATACTCGTTAAAAAAATGGAACTATGACACAGCATGACTTTAAAAGCAAAATCCACTGAATAGTATTCAGTCTTCACTATATTTTGAATTATCTATAATTAACTACAGTTATCTATCCACAATTCATTATTTAATTAAAGACTTTTAAAAAGCAAATGAATCAAAATAAAATTTTAAGTGGCAAGTTACTTATTTGCATGAAATAATGGTTATCATTAAAATCATGACATTAAAACTCATTCAACCCACCTGTCTTAGTTCCACTGTTGGGCCTCTTCCCACATCCAAAGCAACCTTAATAGGGGCTAAACAAGGGTGAAGTTTAAGTACCTAAGGCAATTAAAAGGGGGGGGGGAGGACAGTACAGCCTGTTTAAATATAACACAGGTACCAATAAACCTAAAGCTTCTCAAACAGTTAAGAATTTCTGTGTGAAAACGAAAGCTATCTGAGGTCATGAAACACCACCCAATGATGTATTCCGTTGTCTTCATCTGGCTGCCCAATAGTCTCCACTTAGATGTTTTGCAAAAATAAATTAACTGCTCCCTCATTTTCTGACAACTCCATTTTCCCTCAATCAAACTGCCTTTCCTTCCTGGCATCAGTTCCTTCCCTACCCAGCCTGGGCCACATGGTTTATCACTTGGACTCTCTCTTACCAAAATCGACTACTTTTCTCATTCATTTATCTACTGAACAAATATTTGAATGACTACTAAGTGCCAGAAACAGTTCTAGGTGCTGGGGACAAAAATTCCTGTCCCTCACAGTGGGGAGAAACAGATAATAAATAGGTAAATAACGTATTTGAAGATCACAAGTGCATTAAAAAAAAAAAAAAAAGGTAGGGGGTGGGGAGGATACAGAATGTTGGCAAAGGGTAGACAGTAGGGGGCTACTTGCAATTTAAATAAGCAGGTCAGAGAAGGCCCCCTCCCGGAGGTGACATTTCAGCAGACTTGAAAGGAGGTGGGAGTGCAAGATGTGTGGCTAACGGAGGAAGAGCATTCCAGGCAAAGGGGAAAACAATGACAAGGTCTGGGTTGGCAGCACACCTGGCGGGCTCTAGAAACAGCAAGGTCAGCACTGCTGGAGTGGACCCAGTGGGAGAGTAGTAGGCAACAAGGTTAAAAACGAAAGCGTTCTGCAAAACGTTCTAGGGACTCTGGCTCTCCCTCTGAGTGACCTGAGGAGCTTACCGGAGTGCTTTGAGCAGAGGAACAACACAGCCTGTACATTTTCAAAGGGCCAGTGGTGGGCGGGGAGGGGTGGTGTTAGGCCAGGGTGGTAGCAGTGGAGGCGGTAAGGTGGTAAGAAGTGATCAGATTCAGGAGATATTTGGAACGTAGAGTCAAATAGGATTTGCTAATGGTTTGGATGTGAGGTATAAGAGAAAGAAAGGATCTCCCCTTGTTTGTTTGCTATATATACCTTATAAACCCCAACCCCGAGAAAAAGTCTATAATCGGACTTCTCTTTTCCCCCCACCCACTGCCATAGAGTCAGTTCTGACTCATAGCGACCCCATAGGGTTTCCAATGGGGCTGTAAATCTCTACAGAAGCAGACTGCCACATCTTTCTCAGAGCCACTGGTGGTTTCGAACCGCTGACCTTTTGGCTAGCAGTCAATCACTTTAAGCACTGCGCCACCAGGACTCCTTTCTCTATGCCCATACGAAGGTAAATAAGTGTGGCATGATAAATTATTTAACCTTGTAGAATGGTGCTACAAACTCATGGTTTCAGACCCCTGCTGGGCACTCAACATTACTTGTTAAAACTTTTAATTTTGGGCAGGTTCTTTTCACATTCAAGGGAAATATGACTATTCCAAATCCTTGCCACTTAAAAACTACTATCACTTCTCCACATTTTAAGCTAATAACCTTGTCTAATTACCTGACAAAATACAGTAAAACATCCTTCAAAGGCTAACTACTCCCGGTGGACTATTTATTATATCCACACCACCCTTCTTCTCTTCCCTACTGTTTCAAATAACTCCATTTCAAGACAAATCCCTCCACTTGTGTTCTTGATTCCTCCCATTTCCTCCAAAATCTTACTCCAGTAGTCATTTCGTTTCTCTTTTACAACTTCAACCCTAACTCTCTCCTGATTTCCTTAAAATAAGCCTTTCCCTTGATTCAGGTTCATATCTAGCTTCTACGATCTGGTGGTCAGTCACTTGGAGCAAGACCAGAAGCCAGATCCCTAAGGCAGAGAGGTCAATACCACAGGTCTTGCTGCTCCTGTCTTTCTTACTCCTGCTTACACTCCTACTTACTAACTAGCTTCTGACACGAATGGAAGCTATCAATGGAAAGGCTCAGGGGCTAAGAACCACAGAGATAGCTGTCTGCCCCATGATTAAATAGAAATGCCTTTGGGATTTCTCTATTTTGAGAACCTGACTATTATTCCTGAGGCTAGATTCCAAAAACTGAAGAATAGTTAAATTACTTGCACTAAAAGAAATTTGTTATTCAGAGTTTGTTAGAAACCAAGCTCACTAACATAAAAAAAGGAAAAAACATCTATTTTTAGTCTTCCAAGTCTGTCTCTGAAATATCAAAAGCACCTTTCTATGAAGATGTTTCTTTCTTGAAAAGGAGTTTTCTGTTAGCTGGAGAGAATCATACAGGTAAGCCAGCATGCCTCGGTCTAGATCTCCACTTACAGATAGAACACAAGGAACCACATTTTTCCGTCCATCTCGGCCCTTTACAGAAAAGCAGAACACAAATAAGTTATCATTTAGCAGAACTGTTTCTTAACATTACACATTTCAGACTCACACAATCAGCACACAGAATTACACATTCTCTTTATAAACACTTGCTGAGCACCCGCTCTGTGCCAAGCCTATGCCAGGCCTCGTGCCCACATTCTCCTCTCTTAGGGAGCTCGGGGTCTAAATCAGTGGTTCCCAACTGCTATAGATTAGAATCACCTGTGAGTTTTAAAACACTAACAGTGCTTGGGCCCCACTTCCAGGGGCCTGGGCATCACTGTTCTTTTAGTGCCCTCTAGGTGAGAATCACATTTTGAGAGGCAACATTCTTAAGTAAAAATTGTTAGAATATTAGTAATAAAGCTTGGAAGAGCCCTTATTACTTATTAGCCTTATAGCGTAGAAAGCTGGTGGACACCATCCTAACCAATAATTACTGTCACCAGTAATGGGACAAATTGATATCGTATACCTCCTTATATTATGTATTGAGAAGGGGACATCACCACCTCTGTGGTATTCCTGGCAAAAATGCATAAATCATGAGGAAATATTAGACAAACCCAAACTGAGACATTCTACAAAGTTACTGGCAAGCACTCTTTGAAAATATCATGGTTGTGAAACACAAGGAAAGATGAAGGAACTGTTCATTTGAAGGAGACTAGAGACATGACAACTATAAGAAATACGTAATCGTGGATTAGATCCTGGACCTATAGAAGCAGGGCTTTGAACCGGTTCAGTTCGGTTTGACACCCTGCTGAGAATCTGCCTTTCTAACACCCAGATATACTAAATCAGAACCTACACTTTAACAAAATCCCCAGTTGATTCTTATGGATCCCCAGGTATACATAAGAATAAGAATAAAATATTGATTCTGATTCAGTATATCTGGGGGTGGAAAAGCAAATTCTCAGCAAGGGGTCAAACTGAACCAATATGAAGCCCTGTATAAAAGGCATTATTGGGATAACTGGCTAATTTTGAAGGGTCCTGTAAACTGGAAGGTAATAATGGATTACTGTTAATTTCCTGATTTTGATGAGGAATCTGTTATGTAGGTGAAAGCCCTTGTACTTGAGAAATACACACTGAAGTACTAAGGGGTACTGGAGCACCACATCTGCAACTGAAATTCTCAAAAGGTTCAGAAAGGTTCACGATCAGAGTTATCTGGGTAAAGGTTACACAGGGGCTCAAGGTAAAACATACGTGTAGTTTAGACACATTTCCAGGATAAGCGTGTAGGAGTTCATGATCGCCTAGATTCCACAGGGTTTCTATTGGCTCCTTTCCCCAGGGAAAATTGTAGTAAAGTTGGTTTCCTTTTCGTCCCTCTTCATCCTGACACTCGCTGCTGCTGAAGTTAGATGCACTCACTGCAAACTGGAAAGCAAAAGCTTAAGTTTGTCTTCTTATTAAAATAAATGTTAATTTACCCCTACTCTCATCATTACCTCTAAGAATTAAAGTTACCTGAGACTTTTTATGCAGCAACTGATCGAAACTAGTCAAGTCCCACATAGAAATTGTGAAATTTTTAAATACGAGCAAATGTACTGCTAAAAATAATATTTTTAGTCTGAAAGAACTACAGAAAAGAACTGGCAATGCTGTCCAGCCTTTTCGTGGTCAATTAATAAGAGGGGAAAGGTAAGCATAACCTAAGCAGGATGAAGAAGAAAGTATCATCTACACACCATTTTTATCCTTCCGTGAAGCACTCGATTATTTGTGATTATTCCATTTAGTTTGGGCAGGAATTCTCTAAGAACTGAGACATTTAGTGTGGGCAGAATTCTCTAAGAATTGAGAAAAGCTAAGACAATAATGGCAAGACAAAAATGCTTACTTTAACTCTTTTCAGTAAAATCTAAAGCCTGATTATAAATTACAGAATAATAGAGTTGAAAGGAATCACAGAGATGATTTAGGGTAGGGCTTTTCAACCTTTTTTTTTTTTTTAACAGCTCAATCTTCTAGAAGTGCCTAAGGTCCCATGGTTAGTATTCTGATGTACTGTACTGCTTTCATCATGCATTTCACAATAGAGTTTGACAGGCATTAGCACCAGAATTTACTACTTGGAACTACTCGAGATAACGATCTTTTAAAAAATCTTTTTTGAGACCCTTTATATTTAAAATGTTGCCCTACGTACTTTCTAGTATACAAATAAATCCAAAGTATTTATGAAGAACATTTGACCTCAATTATAATAGCTAAAACTGTTAACATTTACTTGAGTGCTTCCTTTTATTATCATTTCACAGATGGAAAAACTGAGGCACAGAGGTGTTTCATAATTTGCCCAAAGTCGCACAGTTGAATTCAAAACCAAAAATCTGACTTGGAGCCTTTGCTTTTAACCAATCCACTATGTTGCCCCTCAAAACCAATGTAACTTTTTAACCTTCTTAGGTAATACGAGCATAACAGTAAAATAGCAACTCAAGACAACAGAAACTACAACTTAGTACAGAATTAAATACCAAAGAGACAGCAGAAATGGGCAGTATGGGTAAGAATACAGATGCAGGAATGATTACTTGTAATTGGGGCAGGTAAGGGGGTTATGTGGAGAACACGGAATTTGAACAGGATTTTGAAAGATGAAGGATTTGCAAAGAAGACATTTCAGACAGGGGGTATACCATGGGCAAAAGTGAAAAATGGGAAAAATCAAAACAATTATCAGTAATAAAAACAATAATAGCTACTATGTATTGAGTTCTCACTATGCCCCAGGCATTTATTAGCTCAAAAACCATTGTGACAAATATGGAGAGTTCATAAAGATAGGCAGCAAAAGTTAAAGCTCTAAGAGTGAGCACAGGTCAAACTCTATACCAGCCAGGAATGCTGGGTGAGGAGTCTGAGCTTTACCTTGGACATAAAGGCTTATCAACCAAAGCTTCTGAGCATGAAACAGAGAAAGCAACAAACGTCTTTACCAAAATAATTTTGTTATCTGGAACAACAAGAATGATTAAAAGAGTTTATTTATATTTGATTTGTGGTAGCTGTCTCTTACAAATGTAACATAGCTACAGCCAATAAAATTTCATTTGTTATATAGAACTATTACCTCTGATACTAAAACAATAAACCTATTAATTATTAAAAGTATTGTAGCACCTTTCTCCACCACAGCAGTCGATGACGTAACCAGAAATCAAGCCACTGGCTTGCAGTTCTTGCAGAAGTAAACCATACCAGGGAAGCTTCAGTCTTCTCACCGATTCTTTAAAGATCAGAAATATTAGAAAGTTAACTTCTTTGAAAATGACATAGTGTATCCCAAAGTGAAAAGGACTTTACTATTTAAACACAAGGCCAAGTTATTTGCCATCTTTTGTACCTTTTAGCACCATGAGGTGTCTGCTTACTATCAGAAACAGGATGAAAACACACTCCAATCTGAGCAAGGCCATACGGGAGCCTCTTGTTTACCAGATCCAGGCAATTAACATAATGCTCCAAGGCACCTGTCAAAAGGGAAATCAACTGTTGTATAAATCTATTCCATAAACCCAAGTAATTTTTGTCAAGTTATAGACAAATTAATATCATAAAAATGTTAGCACAGCCATACAAGTATCATGTAACTATTAAGGCTGATCTTAACTGATTACCACTGAATTTGAGGTAGTTTCCCCCAAACTTTTTAGTTTGAAGATTTTCCTAAAAGTTGAAAGAATAGTACAATAAACACACCCATATATTCTTCACCGAGATTCACCAAATGTCAACATTTTGCCACATTTGCTTTTTTCTTGTTCATCCCAAAATAGTTCAGCATGCATCTCCTAAAAATATTTTCTGCATACTATTATTACACCACAAAAAACTAACCATAATGCCATAATATCACCCAACATATAGTCAATATTCTATTATCTCCAATTGTCACGAAAAACATCATTTATTATTTTTCTTTTTCTCCCTAATCCAGGATCCAGTTAAAGTTCATGCACTGCATTTTTATTAGGTCTCACTAATCTCAAATTCGTTAGAGTACAATTTTTCATAGTATTGTTATGATTCTTTTAACTTCAGCTGGGTCTCTTGTGATATCACCCATCTCATTTCTTATATGGGTTATTTGAAATAACCTCCTCTCCTGTTTTTCTTTTGTCAGTTTGGACAATGGTTTATCAATTTGGTTGATCTTTTTCAAAAAACCAGCTTTTGGTCTTGTTAACTCTTTCAATTGTTTTTCTATTCTCTATTTCATTTAATTCTGCCCTAATTCTTATTATTTCCTTTCTTCTGGCACCTGAGAGCTTCTCTTGCTGCTCTCTTTCTACTTGTTCCAGTTGTAGGGTCAATGTTTTGATTTTGGTCCTTTCTTCTTTTTGGATGTGTGCATTTATTGCTATAAACTGACCTCTAAGCACTGCTTCCGTTGTGTCCCAAAGGTTCTGGTAGGATGTGTTTTCATTCTCATTTGATTCTATGAATTTCTTTATCCCATCCTTTATTTCTTCTATTGCCCAGTAGTTTTTGAGCAAGGCGTTCACTAATCTAGAATGTTTTTTATTTTAGTATGTAATTTTTTATTTAAATTTTTTAAAAATTTTATTGTGTTTAGGCAAAAGTTTACAGCACAAACTAGTTTCTCATTCAAAAATTTATACACAAATTGTTTTGTGACACTGGTTGCAATCCCCGCAATATGTCAGCACTCTCCCCCTTTCCCTTTACATTCCAGGTTCCCTGTGTCCGTTCCTCCAGTTTTTCTTTCCCTTCCTGCCTTCGCTTTTGGCAGGTGTTGCCCCTTTGGTTTCATATACTTGATTGAACTAAGAAGCACGTTCTTCATATGTGTTGCTGTTTGTTTTATAGGCCTGTCTAATCTTTGGCTGAAAGTTGGACTTTAATATATAATTTTTATTGGAGACTGTCTTAGTCTTCTATTGCTGCTATAATGCAAATACCACAAGTGGACGGCTCTAACAAAGAGAAATTTATTCTCTCACAGTTTAGGAGGCTAGAAGTCTGAATTTAGGGTGCCAGCTTTAGGGGAAGGCTTTCCCTCTCTGTCACTTTTGGGGGATGGTCCTTGCTATGAATCTTCTCCTGGTCAAGATGCTTCTCAGTGCAGGGACTCAAGGACACTGGGTCCAAAGGACGTGCTCTCCTAGCTCTTCTTGCTTGGTGGTAATGAGGTCCCCTTGTCTCTACGCTCGCTTCTCTTTTTTATATCTCCAAAGTGACTGACTCAAAACACAATCTAATCTTGTAGATAGAGTACTGCCTCATTAATATAACTGCCTCTAATCCTACCTCATTAACATCAGAGGTAGGATTTACAACACATAGGAAAACCACATCAAATCACAAAATGGCAGACAATCACACAATATTAGCCTAGCCAAGATGATACACATTTTTGGGCGGTCACAATTCACTCTCTAACATTCTACCCTTTAGCTCCCCAAAATTAATGTCCTTGCCACATGTAAAACACATTCACCCATCATATCATAGCAAAAGTCTGAAATAAAAAAAAAAAGTCCAAAATCCAAAAATTCCTCTTCCTCTGTGAAATCTAGAAGTTATCTGCTTCCAAAGCACAATGGCGGAACAGACACAAGGTAGACATTTCATAACAAATGGGTAATCTAGAATATTTTGTCTGACCCCTCCCCAACCTAGTTATTAATGAACTTTTGATGAGTCCAGACCAGTCAAAGAATGTCTCACATTTGGGATTTTTCTGATTGTTTCTCCTTATGATTTAATTTAGGCTAATCATTTTGGCAAAAGTACTACATAAAAATAACCAGACCCACTGCTGTCGAGTCGATTCCAACTCATACTGACCCTATAGGAGAGAGCAGGACTGTCCCATAGGGTTTCCAAGGAGTGGCTGGTGGATTCAAACTGCAGACTTTTTGGTTAGTAGCCAAGCTATGTGGTTGATGTATATGTCTTACTGCATTATACAAGGAGGAACATAATATCAAACTACCCTACTATTGAGGAAACCAAATTTGATTGCTTGGTGTTATGGATTGAATTGTGTCTCCCAAAAATTTGTATCAATTTGGCTAGGCCATGATTCCCAGTATTGTGTGACTGACCACCATTTTGTCATCTGATGTGATTTGCCTATGTGTTGTAAATCCTATCTCTATGATGTTAATGAGATGGGATTAGAGGAAATTATGTTAATGAGGCAGGACTCAATCTACAAAATTAGATTGTGTCTTAAGCCAATCTCTTTTGAGATATAAAAGAGAGAAGCAAGTAGAGAGACATGGGGTCTTCATACCACCAAGAAAGAAGCACCAGAAGCAGAGTGCATCCTTTGGACCTGGTCCCTGCACTGAGAAGTTCCTTGACCAGGGGAAGATTGATGACAAGGAAGTTCCTCCAGAGCTAGCAGAGAGAGAAAGCCTTCCGCTGGAGCTGGCACCCTGAATTAGGACTTCTAGCCTCCTAGACTGTGAGAGAATAAATTTCTTTTTGTTAAAGCCATCCACTTGTGGTATTTCTGTTATAGCAGCACTAGATAACTAAGACACTTGGTTAAGGTGATGACTACCCACTTCCCAACAAGTGTCTGCTCCTTAACAATCTTTCACCCCATATTTTAGAATCCACTGATGACGTTTGCTAGAATCAATTACACTGAAGATTGCAAACTGGTAAAATGGTGATTTTTCTATCTTTCCTTTCTGCATTTATTGCATAGCTCCTGCAAAAACTTAAGCTTTCTCCATTCCCTAATTAACACTATGGACTCTTGGATTTTTTATTGTATTCAATGTGTTGTAATCCATTATCATCAGTATTCATTTTAATGTTCAATTTGTTCCAAATTTAGCCAGTAGGAGCCACCTTCAAGCCAGCTCCTGTGTCTCTCTGACATGATCCCACTAGTCTTTGAGCAATTCTTTATTTACTAGTACAATAAAATGTCCCAAACTCACCTTGTACTTTCCCTGCCCCTAACCTGAGATCAGCCATTTCTTCAAGCACTGATTCATTTTAGAAACCAACATCTGGGCACTAGCTATGCTTATTACTACTAAATGTCATTGCTTCTAGGCCCTTTTGATGAAGAGAGTTAGGAAATATATATTTTTTTAAATTATGAATTCAGACTGACATTATCAATTCAAATTTAACATTACAGGGTTTTTTCCTTGCCTTTTATATTTGTATCTTCTTTCTCTTACAGTGAAGATCTTCGTTCCTAATAACATTATCTGTTTGCTTTATCCTATAATACATATAACTTCAGAATTACAATTCCTACGTTTCTACACTTCAAGATTTCTTTGTAATTCTTTACGCACTTAGACTACATCCCACTAAATAACAGTGTTGGACAGTGGTTAAGCGCTCGCTGCTAACCTAAAAGGTTGACAGTTCGCTCCCACCAGCCGCTCCGTGGGAGAAAGATGTGGCAGTCTGCTTCTGTAAAGATTACAGACTTGGAAATCCTATGGGGCAGCTCTACTGTATCCTACAGGGTCGCTATGAGTCAGAATCGACTCAACAGCAGTGGGTTTGGGTTTTTTTTTGGTTCAAGTTACTTAAGATTTACACTTCTGGTAAAATAGACTAGCTTGTCGATAACAATGATAAAAGGTGGTTAAAAAAAATTTCTTTTCAATCTGTTTAAAGACACAGGAGAGCTAACAAGACAGCAAAGACTTGAAGGTCCAAGATTTGGCAAGAAGAGATCAATGACGAGAACCCAACATTTAGTGCTGCTTTGCCAATTCTCTAGTGGAAGAGGTGAGAGGCTGAAATACTGAGCAAAGCGTGCAGTTCCTGGCCCAGCAAGGAGGAGGGGCCTTGGTGAACACCTGAGGCTTTCCTCTGGGGCACTCAAAGGGGCCACACTCTAGGAGTAGGGATGAAGTGAAAAAGACTGAAGTCAAGCTTCCAATCAGCTTAATCCCTGACTGTATTAAAAAGATATGTCCCCATTCTAGCTGCCTGCCAGAAGCAAAAGTAAATCCTCCCTGGAAGAAGAAAAGACCACTCAGAACCTCAATTTATTTCTACAAATTTTCATACGCGATTACCTAGATTATAAAGAAAAAAGCTTAAAGAACCAAAAGCCCAGAGGAAAACATACACTAGAAACAAATATACTGGAATTATTAGACATAGACTTTAAAATGTGATTCATGTGTTCAAGAAAGTTGATGACAAGATGGAGAAATGGTCTAACCTGTAATTCGTCACAGGAGAAATCAGAGAATGGAGTGGTAACAATATTTGGAGACATGATGACTCAGAATTTTTTAAAACTATTCATAAAAAGAAGATATCATAATCGTTCAGACATGGAATAAAGAGAGCAAGGGCATAGTGAATAGAAAGAAGTGGCAAACGGTAATTCTAGACTAAAAACTCTAGACAACCAGAGAAACTGGCAAATAATTTAAGTTTCCTGAAGGCAAGAAAATGTCTGGCACAGAAATAGAAGCTTGAATGGAGAGCTAACAGAGACAAGTCTCATTTTCTGTGTTTCTATCCAAGTCAGCGCAACTTGGAGGATGGTGATGCCATTCAACAGAGATAAGAAGAAAAGATTGAGCCCCCAGACACCCTTTTAGCTCAGTGGTGAAGTCACTCCCGAGGTTCACCGTTCAGCTGGGGAATGGGCAGTCCCATAAAACAAAATGGGACTAATGAGGCACAGCAGTCCAGAGACAAAGACTAGAAGGCAGAAGGGGACAGGAAAGCTGGTGGTAGGGAATCCAAGAATGAGTAAGGACAATGTTGACATGTAGTGGGGGTGTTAACCATTGTCATAGGGCAATATGTGTACTGTTTAATGAGAAACTATTTTGTTCTGCAAACCTTGATCTAAAGTGAGATTAGCAGCATAACTGGAAGAACGTAATCGATGTCACTGAATTGTACATGTAGAAATTTTTGAAATGGT